GCAAATGATTAAAATGTGTAGTCATCTGAAACAGAGATGGGCAATTATTTGGGCTGGAGGGCCACTTAAGGAGTTTTGGTGAGCTGTCTGGGGGCAGCAATTGATCCTATCCAGCCCACTGTGCACCACCGGGAGAGCTGGGCCCTATGCAGCTCTGCTCTAGTGCATCCAAGGCTGGCTGAGCCACACAACACACAGACTCCTCCACCTGTCCCATTCCCCCCTTCCCACCCTTGCCTTGTTTCCTGTTGGCTCTGTGCAGTCCTGGTACTGTGGTCTCTGACAGCCGGGCCTGCGCAGGATGGGCCATGATAGTGCATAGAGTAGCTGTCCTGCCTGCCCGCCCACCATGATGAACCGCTGCATCACGCTGGGAATGTTGGGAGTGACCGCGCCAGGCCCAGCATGGATTAGTGGCACCAGCTCATTTCAGCAGGCAGGTAGGATGGCTACTTGGCATGCACCCTGTTGCATGCAGGCCCAGCTGCCAGCAGCCACTGTGCCAGAGCTGCGCAGTCACACAACCAACAGGAAGCTGGCTGGGAGGAATGGATGTAGGGGTAGGGGAGGCGGGGAGGAGGCTGTGCTGTCTGTGTACTGCATGGCCTGGCCCCAGCCGCAGCAGAGCGGAGCAGCATGGGGCACAGCCCTTCCTCCTCAGGCTCCTGGCAGCGGCCAGTGGGCTGGATAGTATCAGTTGATGGTCCATATTATGCCCATACCTGATCTAAAGAAATAAGTTCTGAATTATTAAGAAGACTCTAATGTATGGCTGGCCAGCCTGTTACACAAGAGAACTTCTCACCTAGGTTTCAAATTTAAGTTTTAAAAAAGTGATTATCTTCATGTGCAGACAAGCTGTTCAGCAAGAACCACAGTTCAAGGCTGAAGAACAAGGACTCTGAGGGAACCCAGGTTTTTATATTCTGTTACCTGGACTTATTACATTTAATGTATCCATATTTTTTAAATGTTTTTAATAGGTTCTGCTTTAATTTAATATTCATATGCCTATTTTATCCCCTGTTTAAAAGTGTTGTCCTAACCCAGGCCGAACTGACATTAAAGTAAATATGTTCTGAACAACCTTAGCGTATCCCTTTTAACCTGCTGCTCTGGAACTTTCTAAAAGTATTCCCATCTCGGGCATTCTCTTGCTTCTTCTTTCTTAACCAAAATTTGGTCAAGTTACTATAAGCAAATGCTAAACCATTTTGGCATTAGAGCCTGTTATAGTCTACTAGAGCAGTCCCATTGGTGGGACACAAAAGTCGTATAGGTGGGACTTCAACTCGCTGCCTGATTGAAAAAATCAAAGTTGTTTGCACTTCAAATAGAGGAATCAACAAATATCTCGAGCAGCACATTTTTGCGGGGTTTTGTTTTTATCATGATGGGACCAGGGTTTTTTGACAAAATGGTTGGTGGGACGTAAAGTGCAAAAGGTTGAGAACCGCTGTACTAGAGTAAACAGTAATGAATATAAAACCTTTGTCAGCGTCAATGATTAAAACCATCGTTTTTAGTGTTATGTTACTTTCAGTGTTAAGTTAGAAATTTTTGTTCCCAGGTCTATTTCCTGAAGGTGTTGGATAGGTTTTCCTTAAGGACCAGGACTGTAATATGCGAGATGGGGGAGGTTGGGGGGCAGGGGGGGGGTCTGTTCTGTGTAAAATATTCTGGTGACTGTTTTTTGTCCTTTATCATTTTTTCTGTGACAATTAGTTTTTGTTATTAATAAGGGCTACACAGAGATTTTTATAGATTTTATCTTGAGAGATTAATTTTCCAAAGCGTAGCCCATCTCCCCCTTCAACATTTTTCTTGGTAAAATTATGTTTTACTTTGACTTTACTTCCAGTTAAAGAAATGTATGTATGAAATTCTAGTTTATAATTATAACCTAAAATTGGTTCGTAATTAAAGGTTCCGCCCTATTGTGCTTGGACAAATGTTAGGACGTCAGACCACACTGTTTTTAAAGCGGAGATTCGCTGCTGAATCTATTACTTTAAGCACAATGTTAAGTGTTTTTCATAAGAAACTCTTAAAACACATTGGCCATTTTCTGGAGTATGTCTTTAAAAGAACTGTTGTAAAATTCTGCTGAGAATGGCTTTATAGAAAACACAACCCTCCAGTGCCTTACTCTTGCATCTGTGTTAAACAAAGTGATGGGTCTCAAGCTTTTCTTTCAGTCTCCTTGCTCAGGCAGTCCCAATTCCTCCTCATCCTATCAGTCTTTATCCACCCAATGTACCTCACTCAAATTTCCCTGCTCTGGGTTTTTTTTTGTCCAGTTCTTTGCCTAGCTATTCTCATCACCTACCCATCTTCTTCCAGCTCCTTGCATTAGCTTCCAGTCTCTCTCATCATACTCTGCCTGGTCATTGCTTCCCTCTCCTGCTCCCATCCAGTCCCAGTCTAGCTTGACTCCATGTTTCAATCTGCTAGTTTGCTTGCTTCCCACCCCCTCCTCCTTCTCCTCCCTGGTCCGGCTTTTATCTTTTCTGTATTTGAATGGGAGACCTTTTTTCTTCCATGCTTTCTGAGTGCCAGAAGGGATAGAGTTGTCAAGAGCATGAGGAGGAAGGGGTCATTCACATCACAGGGCCTGATTTCTTAGTCCTAAATCAAAGCCTAGCCTGACCCTGGCCTTCAGGAAGAGTCTGATACACCTTTAACCGAGTGCTTAGCTTCTCTGTAGTTGTGACAAATGTTTATCTGACCCTAGCTGATCAGCTTTGGCAGGCTCAGTGGCCCTTGACTCTTGAGAATTGTGCTACTAAATTTTAGCAAATCTCTACCAAGTATCAGAGGTGGTTAGCTGTGTTAATCTGCGGTCAGGTAGAAGGTAGGACAGGGTGGCACTTTAGAGACTACTGTGCGTGTGTATGAACAGCAACATTTTCCAAGGCACATAACAGCTAAATGGGAAGGATTTTTCACAGGCAAGGCAGGAGATTCAGCCTTTGCGCACAGGCTTCTGACAGATGTTATACTTAAGACAAGATGTGATTAACTGGTTAAACATAAGTAGTGACCTGGCCACACGCTTAATCAGTCAGATCTCTTTGAGCCTTTCCTTTAATGTCTATGAGGCACCACAGACTAAACCATTTGCGAAATTTCAAGTCCCTCCTCTAAAGCACAGGGATATCAGACCTGTTCAAAGGAAAAGTCAGCAGGTCATTTTAACACCGGGGCTGGGAGGGAAGAGTTTTGCCTTTGTCTGTTCTTTCTAATATTTGAACCATTTATAATAAAATTTTAAGTCTGAGCCAGGCCAAATGTTTAAAATACTGCAAAGTTGTATAAGCATCTTAGCATTATTGGGAGCCCTTTATGGGTGATGAGGGGTGGATCTGGGTGGGTATGCAATGGTGCTGTTACACCTCCCAACCACTGCTGTTCCCAGCTGGTGCAAGCATAGTGGATAGCTCCAGAGCTGGTCCTGCCATGCTGGACCCACAGGCTTCAGGGACCAGCTCTGTGGGGTGCCAGGCTCAGGCAGGAATGGTAGTGGTGGGCACACAGGTTCTTCCTTCCAGAGCCTGCTCCCAGCCAGCAGAGCAACACCTCTGAGGATAGCATGGGCAAAGAGTAGGTGCTGGAAGGAGGAGCCCACTCACTGCTGCCATAGTCCCCAGCCAAGTCCATCACCCCATGCAGCTGCTTTTTGCAGTCTCCATCTGGAGTAGAGTAGGGACAGCTCTGGGCTCTCCCCCATGCCCAGGTCAGCTGGGTACAGTGGTAGCAGGCAGCAGTCAGGTCATCTTCTTTGTGCACCTGCTCCTTGCCTGGCACCCCAGGGTCCGTGGCTGACCTAGAGGCTCTTGCCCTGCTTTGCGCCCAACACCCCCCTTCCCCAACCCTTCCCATGGTCTAAAGGGCAGTGTGCCACATCCACCTTTAGTAAATCCTGGATCCACCTATGTAACTTGTATTACTTAACTCATTCATATTTATCAAACATGTCTGCTAGTTTTTCAGAGAAATGTGTACCCAGGAAACATGAGATAACACAAAATTACCATCCTAATTGAAAAATAGTTTGGATAGACTTAGTGGCTGCTTACAAACGTTAAAAAAAAAAAAAGAGGCACTTTTCATTAAACTCCATACATCCCTGCACTGGGCTCAGCGCATGCCCAAAAGCGGTATTGCATTAGCTGGACCCAGCTTGCTCAACTTCTGTATAGATCAGGTACTTTAGTGGGGCTTTTTGGGTGCTTTTATCTAATAGCTTAGGGGTTTTCAACCTTTTGGGGTCAGTGTACCCCTGGCAGCCGGTTAAGAAGGCATGAGTCCCCTGGCAACCAGATGGGGGGGGGACCCCCAGCAGCCAGTCGACCAGGGGGGTCCCCCACAGCTGATCGACAGGAGTGCTGAGTACCCCCTGAGGCCATCCCAAATTGAAAACCCCTGTAATAGCTGATACAGTTGACTTTAGATAAAAGCACTAAAAAGTCCCACTAAAGCTCCTGATCTATACAAATGCTGCAGAGCTGGGTCAAAGTATTGCGGTGCTTCTTCCAGTAAAGCGTGTTTTAGGTTTATTTTTCCCCACATCTGTTAGCGCCCAGTGTTGGTAGAATTTTCCCAGAATAAATCAGCCCATCAGTTAGGTCTCAAGCTGTGATTTACATCTAGGTATAAACAGACTCATGTGCTTTGTTTATGTAGAGCCTACAAACTGTGAATGTTGTTGGCAAAAATTGGTATTCTAACTATTATTTCTGGCAAAATCCATTTCCACGAAAGAAGATCAGAGTATATATTTTATGTTTGGAATAAGTAGTGTGAACGGCAAGATGATTGAAAACAGGAAAAATTGAGATCAAAGTCTTAGACCACGTCCCGCAGTCTGAACAAATTTGCTCAGGATACAGATTTTGCTGTTCATCCACTAAATGTTGCCTAAACAAGTTAACGTGTGTATTTCTCGTATCTCTTGGAAAAATAACTGTTAAAAATGTTTTGTCCCTTTTCTCTTACAGCACTTGAAGAATCTGAAAGTGACATTTATGTGCGATTCATGAGGTCACACAAGTGTTACGACATTGTTCCAACAAGCTCCAAACTTGTTGTTTTCGACACTACGTTACAAGTGAGTACTCCACTTTCAGTTTGTTTTCATTCTGACCAGTTGTCTTTTTTGTGCACAAACTTCATGTAGTATTCAAGGAATATCTTTCCTTAATAGAACTGTTTCCATAATGCTGTCAGTTGGGAGCAAATAGCAGCAGTATATTTTTGAAGTGTTAACAATAAAGTTTTCTGAATGTAACGTTTTTTCCATTTGCGTAGGATGCAGCTTTATATTTATGTCACTTGAAGGCTTTTAGCTATTGCCTCAAAATGGGTTAGGTCCTTTTTATGGCCTTTCTCATAGGGACAAGCAAAGAAATGCCAGTTATCAAAATATTTATTAATCTTCTGTGATTATATAGGAGAGTGGCTGTTGTACAGAAATTCAGTGTTGTGATTCTTGCCTTAGAGTGACTAGACAGATCAGGATTTTCATAATCCAGCAAATTCCTGAATCCTAATTCAGTTTAGATTTATTTATTATGCTTTATCAGAAGTAACTTTCTGGAAGTTTTTTCATTGAGAGTTTTAGTTTTGTTTGAATTTTGTAGTTACTGAAAAAAAGAAAATACTAGCAGATCTGGCCATTATAGTACCATTAAGAATAAATTGTTCTGGTGTTGAATGCATATTGTGTAGTTCTGATTTTATTATTATTAGCTTTATTGGAGAATAAAAATTCAAGGACTTTAACTTCAGCTGAATCAGACTGAATTGAGCTGAAACAAGTGAAGTAGTGGTAACTGACTTTAAAATAAAGGTAAATCTCTATTCCAGATTATAATGTCTTGTCTACATCAGAATGAATTCGCAGATTGGTTTATTGATTTCTTTATGAGTTTACTTCAGGGGCGGGCAAAATGGTATATCCGGCCGGTGGCCAGACTCCATTTCCCAGCAGCCCCTGTCCACATCTCTGCGACCAGTTTCCATGGAGACCCTAGTAGCCGCAGTGCCGTGACAACACAGGGCCAGGGTTTCCATGGAGACCGGCCCCAGCAGTGCTGGCAGGGCATGTGTGGCTGAGCAGGGAGTTGCTTCAGGGCCAGCGGGGCATGCAGGAAGCAGATCACAGCTCTGCCGCAGCTCCAGACCACCCTGCCACCGCCGCGAGATCCCAGCCCCAGAGCAGCTGCACACCCTGCCAGCACTGCTGGGGTCAGTCTCCATGGAAGCCCTGGCCCCATGCTGTCATGGCCCTGCCACTCCTGGGGTCTCCATGGAAACCAGCTGTAGTGACGTGGGCAGGGGCTGCTGGGAAATGGAGTCTGCCATGGGTCCAATCCAGCCTGCGGGCCAGACTTTGGCCACCCCTGGTGTAGTTGCTCTTAGAAAACTTTTAGTTTGCATCTTTTGTTTCTGTCGTCTAGTAAAAGATAGAATTACCATTCAGAGTCTAAGATTGATGCTTGGATCTGTTTGTTAAAACAAGTTCTCTTTTGTTCCAGTGAACTTTAGATAATCTGCTTTAACTGTGCTTTTAGGGGTATAGGCCCTAACTGCATTTATTTATGAAAATGTCACAGTATTCTTGATGAGAAGGAAAGTATAATCCTCATTCTCATGTGCATTTTAGCATGCTGAGTAAAGCGTTTGTTTAAGAAATCATAATTGCCATGTTTAACATAGAAGTCAAAATAGTGGGTAGGGTGTTTGCTTCTTGGTTTGGGAATTTCTTCCCTTATAATGTCATCAGACTGAGTTTGATTAACCTTCAGAAAAATGCTGCACAAATAGCTTGTTTTCCCAAGTTCACTCGAGTGAAATTTAGAACGGGGTTTTTTTTGGGCGGGGAGGGGGGTTTCCCAGAGGTTGGTCTGTTTTTTCAGCATCTGTTTTGTAATTCAGCTAGGGAATTTTGGAAATAGGAATACATATTTTAGATTTTGCATCGAGTCTGCTAATGGTAACTTTTTTCATGGGGTCTTTAAGCCATCAGATACTGTGCATCTTCTACATGCACAACTTTGTGAACGTAAGTTTATCTGTTCTGTCTGCAGCTTGTTGTTGGGCCACAGTAAGAGATTGACAGTGATGCTAATTTTGCTAGGGAAAAGTAACTTGCCTAATGAGGCTGACAGTGTAAAAATGCAGTTTGAGAGAATGATAAAGCAGTTTTCAAACCATATTTGGTGTATTTGGTTGGATTAAAACTGAAGAATGTTGCTGAAAACTTTTATTATTGCTAATCTAAGTTCCAGTCTTGTGAGGCATATAATGCCTCAAGACTCCTGTTTGAAGTCAGTGGGATTTTCAAGTGCTTGATATTTTTTGCTGGATTTGTTCCCAAAGAAAATTAATATTCCTCTGACTTCCAATTATTATTTCTCTGGATTACTAAGAGAAAGTGGTGCTTCTGCCACAAATCACAGGAACATGTGATGCTTCCGAATATATTAATACCTTGTGCATAAGACTTACTAGTTCAGTAAACTTAAGTAGGAGACATGGAGTCTGATAGTTACTTTGCTTGTGCCAGTGTAATTCGGGAACAATCAGTGGAATTATAATGTTGGATACTAGGTAAGGAAGAGAGAAATCTGAGTTACATCACAGTAACTATAATATGTTCAGTGTTTTGCAGTTTGAGTGGCGGTGCCCCTGGAAGAATGTTTCTGAGTAGTTTCTGTAGCTTTGATATCCTGTCTCCACCTACTGGTTGGAAATGACAACAACCAGTCAAGATGGGTTTGAGTTAGATTTCTGATTTGGTGGTATGAATAGTGTTGCTAATAGCACTGGACAACTATAGATATTTTTATGTAATGCATTAAATGGTAAGTCTCACGTTAGACTACTCCTTTTAAACATTGGGGGAAAAAAACACCTAAATACAAAAAGGCCAACAGTCAGCAAGTATAAATGTACCTAAATATCTAGGATGGATTTAGTGTAAAGATGTGTAAACAAAAACAACTGAGATTCTCAGCAGCAAACTATGAGATGATACTTCAGTAGACCCCTGATTTATACAAGTATTGTGTTCTGGGGGAATTTCATGCGAGTTGATTTTGCGTAACTTGGGACAACTTTCCCCAAAGAAAATAATAGAATAGTGAAGGGTTGCATACCCCAGGCATACCTTAGTCAGCTTTTTTTCCCCTTTTCTCGGCAGAATCGCCTTTAGGAGGCATGTCTAGTGGCTCACCTACGCATCTTGAGATGCCGCTACCACAATGGTGGTACAGCTCTGCTTGATTCTGCCTGCAAATCTTGTGAGGTGTTTGCGTATATATGCGAATCTCACAAGCGTTCACATATATACGTGAATGACATGCTTCTCGAGGGGCATTTTGCAGACCCTAATAAAAAAATTGCATAAACGCAAGACACGTAAGTTGGAATCTCGTAAATTGGGGGTCTACTGTACTGAAGTTTTGTTCCTAAAGCTCTCCCAACACAAGAGGCGCTTAAGGCCATAATGTTTTCCAGGAAGATTTTTAGCAGAAGTGCAACGTCTGGCAGTAAGAACAGGAAGGGGAGAGTTTACCTGGGTGTTCTGTGATGGGGAATATGTGGTTCTGTCAGCTACTTACGCACACCTCTGTTCGCGATACCATGGAGCGTGAGTGGTTTTCAAAGTTAGGGACCCACCAGGCACTTTGAGTTGTGAAATCTCCCAGCTCCATATGACTGCATGTGGTTCAGTAAGCCTTTGTGACTAACAAGTCATATAATAACTAGTACCTCCCAAACTCTGACTATATGGCTTGTATATATAAATGAATTTTCTACTCTCCTGCATCTGACATTTGCCAGGATTTCCAAGATGACAGCAGCAGAGACTTGGAGAAACTTTGGGGCCTTTGATATCTTTTTCGTTCCTGTGGAGTAAAGAATTCCCACCGTCTCAAGGGCAAGATATGTACAGTATATTGTATAAGCAATTAAGAGTGCTTAACTTCACAGTATCCTCATTCACAAGTTAAGAAAATGTCAGAGTTAAGGTCACACCATGGGGCCTTCATTCTTTTTCCTCTTGTACAGATGCATCATAACAGTGTGTTCACATACCGGTGTTCTACAAAACTGCCCTTCATTTTAAAGACCGATTCAGTATAAATAATCAGTGTGTGGTCCCAAAGTATCTTCGTCCAAATCCTGAACTGACTGTCAATTTCCTAATTACCTTGTGGGTGTTTCTATGGTTCTCTCACAGTAGTGCTGGAATACTTCAAAAGCATTAATGAAGCTGTCTTCCCAACACTCCAGTTGGATTTGGCGATATCTTAAATTGAGGAGCTGAAACGAAGAGAAGTAATGCCAAAATTGTTAAATGTCAGTTTAATGTTGGGTGCTAAAGTTGAAGTGAAGGGCCTGATAATTTCTGTTTTCTCTTCCCAAGTTTACGTAGCATTTTTATAGCTCTTGGATTCAAAGCACAGCTTCAGTTGATCTCAGCTGTAGGTGTGAGCACTTGCCACTTCTGCAGGTTAGGCCGCAGGTGTTTAAAATTGGTGTAAAAAACAAGAACACTGTGTCCAGTTGTGAACCCTTTGATTTAAGTGCCAAACATCACATTGAAAGCCTGTAGGCATAGGGATAGTCTAGTTCTCTAGGGCAACTTTCAACAGCCTTTATTATGAGGCTATCCTTTCTCTTCCTGTAATCACCTTCCTCATTCACTATGCCAGCAGTTCTGAACCTTTTGCAGTCGACGTACCCCTTGGTCTCAGAGTGAGACTTCACGTACCCCCTTTCAATGGGAAATTAATTTTTATGTCAAACTAAGTGTAATCCCATGTGCATTTTACAGCAGTTTCAAATTGTCAAGACTTTTTTTAGGCCCTTCGACCTGTGTTAGACAATGTATGAAATATATCTCATGTACCCCCTGATGAGGCTTCACGTACCTCCTGGGGGTACATGTGCCCCTGGCTCAGAACTGCTGCACTATGCAGTTTCCATCTAATGCAACATGATGGAGGGGAGAAGTACAGCCAAAAAGTCTCCACTCTGCAGTCTAGATTCATCTCCAGGCTACAATCCAGTCTGAATGAGCCAAGGTTCCTCTGCTGC